GGTAACAAATCAACCTATAAGCACCTCTAATGTATTTATCCATTGGTCTCAGTAGGAGAAGTACATTTATTTCTTAAAAATCTAACTGTTTCTTTGCTTAATATTAATTGTTTTGTGAACTTATTGCACATGTGCTGGATTACCAGGTATCGTGCTGTGGCCTCATGGAGTCGTATCAAAGGGATTGGCGTTCCAAAGTGGATGGCTACTGAGATAGCTCTCATCTGGATATTATCCATCATCCTGGCTGTGCCAGAGGCAATAGCTTTTGACATGATCACCATGGACTACAAAGGAGAACACTTGAGGATCTGCTTGCTACACCCCATGCAGAAAACCGAGTTTATGAAGGTGAGGGCAAATCTCATGGACCCTCAGAGGCCTTCCCTGTGTAGAAAATATGTGCGTGTTGACACAGCTGTGCACGCTGAAAAACCTGCATGCACATTATAACATATACTGACACGTACAGGCACAAAGATGCAAATGTTCAAGTTGGCACATTAGGCTGTGTATGTGCACTCACAGCCGTTCTGTGAAAGCTTCCAGGACAGATCACGGGTGAATCAAGTTTACAGAAATTAGATTATGCTGAAAAGAAAGTCAAACAATACATGTAAGGAGTTATTGTTCCCTGGGCTGAGAGAAAATCCTGCAGCACTTGAGCATGTGTGTTTTAACTCCACTAAGATACTTTGATAAATTGTTTTTTAAATGTAAGTCAATATGTCTGAATTTGAGACACACCCTGGAGCCCCCTCCCCTGCATTAAATTAACTTCAGAACTTCTAATGTTCAACCCAAGCTCTTATGTGCAGATGTCAGTGCATGATTCTGTGCTGTTCTCCTATTTTCCCTCTATAGTTTTATAAATCAGCAAAGGACTGGTGGCTGTTCAGTGCATATTTCTGTCTACCATTGGCCGTCACAGCTATTTTCTACACCCTGATGACCTGTGAGATGCTGAGGAAGAAGAACGGCGTCCAGATAGCTCTAAGTGATCACCTCAAGCAGGTTTGATGATGGCATTTATTTAAATTTGTTATTCATTGTAAACTGTTTTTAATTTTGAGGTTTTAGAAATAAAGTGACACTATACTCATTTAAGAGCAGGACAGGCACAAAATGTTTGTATACTGACACAAAACTATAAAAACACAAAATTAAATAATCTCATGCCTTTGAATTACCAAACTTGTTGCAGTTTGATCTAAGACACAATTTTTCCTTTGAAATGGATTTAATTTATCATCAAAAATCAAAAAAGTTTCCAATCTGCTTTGTGACCAGCATTTCACCACGGCTATTTCATTGCCAAACCATCAAAGAAGTTACTGTACAGTGATTAATGGATGTTTGTGTGTTTGTGTTCAGCGGAGGGAGGTGGCTAAGACAGTGTTCTGCCTGGTTCTGGTTTTTGCTCTCTGCTGGCTGCCTCTCCACCTCAGCCGTATCCTGAAGCTGACCATCTACGATGAGAAAGACCCAAACCGCTGTGAACTTCTCAGGTATGGGAGGAAATACATTTCCCATAGTGCACATAAAAAGTACCATAAATGATAGAGCTGAATTACCCCCACCCCCAGAAGACTGATAGGTATCTGTTACCTTTTTAGTTTCTTTTTGGTCCTGGATTACATCGGCATCAACATGGCATCTGTGAACTCCTGCATCAACCCCATCGCCCTCTACATGGTCAGCAAGCGCTTCAAGAACTGCTTCAGGGTAAGTACCTCTGCTGCAATTTATTATGTGCAAAGCAAAAATGTCTCAAAAAAATACATCATAGACTGTATTAAAAGATGGAAGACATGACTGCTCTGTGAAAGTAAAGCCAGAGCATTTTGATATCCCCTTGGTGGCTGGCGGCAGAAAAGGTCATAAACCCTGACTTCTCCATATTAATGGATTGGACATGGCCCAAACTGAAAGGTTAAACTACACATCTAAAATAGTTTGATTTAGGTTGTTCTTATTACAATAATGCACATTCAAGTGTACATTTTTCCAGTAGTTTGATTTTAAAGACAGTTTATGGATAGCATCTGGCAATTCCACAACACGACCACTACTGCGCAAACTCTTTTGCTAAATATGCGACCATGTGTATTTATTATATAGAAAACAAAGTAGTAAATACTTTCTCCTCTACCTAGCCTATTCCTTACAGTTGTTCTCACCACTTTTTTCCCCACTCTAGTCCTGCTTGTGTTGCTGGTGTCTACCGGCCGAGATGTTACTGGACGAGAAACAATCGTGCATGAAGCTGAAAGTCACTGATCGGGCTTCTGACCAGAGCAATTCCCGCATGACCAACAAATCTACCACGGCATGAGGAGAGACCCAGAAATGAGAAAGGGGGAGGAGATATGATGACAGCAAAACAAGAACAGAACAACAACATATTGAAGTATAGCGGACTGACTGGGGAGTGCTCAATCCTGCCTCATCTATAACGTCATCTGAAGTCTCCTGAAACTACTAACAGACATTCCCTTGGAAATCAGCCCTCATTTTAACCTAAAACTCTGAACACTTATCATTATGGGGCGCTGTACACTCTCCTCCATCCAAGAAGAAAAAAAGCATCAATGCACTGCAGAAAGCTGTGTGAAAAAGTGTGAGAAAACACCAAATATCGAGAACCGCGCAGGGGGAATTTCCAGCACAAGTTTATGTAAAATTGGGGTTCAAGGGTGAATTAGCAAAGACAGTTTCTCAGGCTCCGAGCCTGGATAGCAAATGTTACTTTGATGCTATGAATCTTGTGATAAGTTTGGCGTTGCATGGACGATTTTCGAGTGTGATGATGTATTGCCTCCACACTCTGCAGAACAAATTTTTGTTTCCCTTAAAATGTATGTATGAATGTATGTACTAAATATTTTTGCATACTTAATCATTTGTCACATTAGTGCCTTTATATGTATTGTCTCTGTGTCATACTCCCAGTATTTACTGAACTACTGATGTTGTGTTTTAATAGGCTGTGTGACAACTCAGCTGTTGTATTATACTGTTCAATATTGGGCCTCTTCATGAGGCTGTATGTGTTTTGAGACTGTATTTTCTCTACATTATCTTCAGCTGACCTGTACCTCAGCTGGTGTGGCGGGAGGTGTACCTTTCTTTTTTTGCAATAAATAAAATTATGAATATAATAAATAAGAAAGTAGTGCAGCAGTCAGTTCTGTATTTTTTTTCAAAAGAAAGAAAAAGGAAAAGCATATTTTTTTTATCCATTATCAGTTCAGACACTCACTTGTAACCATTTATGGCTGTGAGTCTTTTAGCTTTGCCTGTTATCATGGCCTGATTCTGTGTGTGTGAGTGTGTGTGAGAGAGAGAGAGAGTGTGTTTGTTTGTGTGTGTGTGTGTGTGTACGCATTTGTCCATGTGGTTTTGATTTAAGTGTGACAGCAGGCGGCATCATGTGATTGTGAATGCTAACACAGGACATTACTGTGATCTCTTTATTTTTCTCTTTCTCCACAACACACACACACAGCTCTGACCTGGGAATGTTCCTTGAGGCTAAACCAGTGTCACGCATGTCACATTAACCGTCAAAGAAGCTCTCTGTTCTGTGACTACCCCTCCTCGACTCATCTCTTCATCCGCTTTCCTTGGCTTCACTCGTTTTCTGCCAGTTTTTTTCCTACCTCTCCATGCCCAACCCTTTCTCTCTACATTCCTGTCTCCACTTCATCCCATAACCCTTCTGCCTCTGTTCCTCCAATATGTTTTCAAACTATCTTAGTGTGGTTTGACATTAAATCAAACCCACCGGTGAAAGCAGCTCTAACTGAGAGAAATCACATTCAGTACATTCCTTCGTAAATGATCTCCTTTTCTACTCCCAGCAGAGAGTCAACTGATGTATCTGCTTGTGGATAGTGACACTGAGCTTCTACTGACACTGACAACAATAATTATGTGGTCATTTGCTCTTTTCTACTTACATACAGATGCAACTTTCTATCAAGGCTTCAACACAATAATGGAGGACGGATAGTTAAACTCTAGTCAACAGCTAAACAGCAATTTATTGCAGAGAGAGTTAACATCACTTTTATTTCTAGTAGGAGCTGAAAAGTGAAGATGAAAACTTGCAGCAGACAGATGCCAAAAGGTTAATGAGAGAAAGCACCGTGTTTAGTAATAAAAACTACTGTAAGGTTTTGATAAACTCAGCATGTGAGCTTGGCTGGGAGCTTCTCTTCACTGAACAAACACTGTGGACTCACTAAGCCCACTGAACTCTGGATGGACCAAGAGGCTGCATGTCCTTCTCTAAACAGAAACAAACACACATTCTTGTACTTCTGTCTTTGTGAAGCCACTCATTGATAAGATGTGTTTCCTAGCCCCTTCCCCTTACCTAATCCAGGACCTCAGAGATGATGTTTTGCCTCATTAGTAGGGTTGAATTCGGAATTTGGTACCCAACGTTACAGTTTTCCCTTTTGCTCCCTCTGTAAAACCAAACAATGTCATTTCATCCCCGGGAGAAAAATGCATAGTGAAAAAAAAGGTACAGTAGGTGGCGGTATGCAACAAGTTCTTTGCGATCAAACTGTAAACCAATATTCGCACAACAAATTTTGCAGATAACATCTCCAAAAACCTCGCAAAAGTGTAACCACACTTGAGATGGCTTTCAGCTTGCCTTTGATTACAATTACCAACACCATGGCCTGATGTAAACCTTCCCAGAAATGTAGTGTTGCTTGCTACACAAATACACAAGCGAACAAGTACAAATGCTTGCATAGACTCTCCATTGTTTCTTCTTACTCTCTCACCCAGATGATTTAACTTGCACCCTCACTGATTGATTTAACGTGAATCAGTGTTTGGTTGTACCAACGTAATCTGGTCAGTACACAACTACAGAGCTCGGTACTCAACCGTATATGCATAGGACTGAGTTTTGGTCCCCATGAGGTCTACTGGTCCTGACAAGGTCTGTGTTTATGCTGGAAAAGGTCCCTAAAGAGGCAACAAAAACAAGTACACACACATACCTAAAATATATTTGGACACAACATATGGTTCATTCTTTCCTTCCCACAGTTTCAGGAGTCGGCAGAAAGGGCTGCAGTATGGCTGGACTGGAGGGATGATAGTTTTGGGTCAGGGTCTCAGGGGTCGGGGAGTGAACAGACTTTTTGTATCCTTCTATTTGCTGTTTTGCATATTTACACAGCAGGTTCAGCATCTTTTCCCCAGCAAATTGCATTCCAAAACAGCATTTGTATGAACATGATGTTTGACTTTACTTTCAAATATCTGTGAGGCAGTACTTGCTTCTATCTTTAAGCTTTTGTTGCACATTGCATTGTTCAGTATATCATAATTTCCAAACTAAACCCTATAAGCATTTAAACTGATATTTATTGTACTTGTACAGCTGTCTCTGTTCTCACATACCTCTACTTTCTTTGACTCTCCCTCCTGTCTTTGATGTCATCTGAAAACACTGAGAGAAATTCAACGAGTTAAGAGCATGTGCACAACTGTTGACGAGTAAGACTTGCTGGCTGTACTCATTTTACAACATTTATTCTGGATTGATAGCATGAGGAGGAGAGCTTTCAGTCTGGCATAGCCTCTGCTAACATTTGGGTAGAACAAAGAAAATATGCTTTCATTATGAGCATGGACGTGCATGTGTGTCTGTGAGTTTTTGCCTGTGTTCTGCTCTGCCATGGAAATACTTCAAGGGAAAAATGTTGAATCAAGTTCAAACTTAGACAGACTGCCTACGAGAACACACAACAAAGGTATGCGAGCTTAAGACGCTGCATCAAAGTATGTGTGAGTGCGTCCATATGCATGTGAGTGTGCACGTGTATGAGACTAATTTTCTAATTTGATGTTCTGTTTTTGGTCACACACAATTGATTTCACATTCAGTGGAATGGTTAATGAATTACACTAAACACAGTTCATCACACCCCTCCCAAGATGAACAGATGAGGCCAACAACAGGAAGTCATTAGACTGAAAAACCACAGACACTAAAACACCTTATTTTATTTCTACATCTGTTCAAGCTTTAGCTGCATTTTCAGAAACTCTTCCTCGGAACATTTGCAGGAACTCTGTTTCCACCATTTCCTCCCATCAACCCTACCGTGAAAGTTGTGCCTCCAAAAAACATGAACATGCAAACAAGTGACTGAAGACGACTTTTCTGTGAATTGCTTGCTGACTTCTGTCTTTCGTCTTTGCTTTAGCAGTGCATGTCTCCAGCCATGCACAGTGAGAGCATGAGCAGGGTGTGCACAGGCAGACAGGTTGGTTAGTAACAGACAGGTACGCCAGCCAATCACGTCATTCAGTTTGAATGACATGATTGAAATGAATAATTTCAGATCTGGAGGTAAATCTTGAAAATCACTGATTGGTGGAGTACAATAGCTTGTAAATTCTGTCTTCTTACTTTTAGTCGAATATTTCATGAGTTTTGTATACGCTTTTTGCTAGGACTCGTCTTTTAAAGTGTTGACTATATAATCCCATTTGCAAAGCAGTAAATCACGTGAATAATGATTACTGTAAATCCTGTTGTAGTCTGTAGTCTATTATTGTTGTTCACTATTCTGCATTACCACCACCTGGTGGACTGGAGTGGTACAGTTTATTGTAGCCTTCAGGTGATGAGGCTTTATCTGAGATTAAGCAAATAAAATTAGATTAGTAATCTCCCCAGGTCTATAGATTTCCAGCAGGACTTAAAGTTGCATGTGCTTAAATCCGAAACACAGTTTATATGTTACAGTCCTACACTGTAGACATACCTTCTTTTATTGCTTGTCTGACGTGATGACACATTTATGTGACCACAGAACAAGATGAACAGTGATTTGTCTGCCGTGAACACACACATATGGCTCGCAGGCAGAGCCAAATATTGTAAATGTTGATTAAATCAGATATATTCAGTTTGAAAGACGAACTTTGTCACTGATGTCAAATGTGGAAAATAAATTAATTCTCACACAGATCAATAGACAAACAGTGTTGGGGCTGCAACTAATGATAATCATTGTTACTATTTTTGTTATTAATTAATCTGCCAATTGTTTTCTTGAGCCATTTGCTCTAAAAATGTCAGAAAAAGTGAAAATGCCTGTAACAGTTTTCCAGAGAGCAAAATTATTGAGAACCAGAACCCAAAGAAACCCAGTTTACAATAGCTAAAAAACATTGACTTACTATTTGATCGTCTTGAACTCATGAAGGATTGTTCTCTGGCAAGGTTCAACTAATAAACAGGCACAAGTGAAAATTATTTGTTTTATATCTTAATATCCAAAAAGAAATGCATAAATGATATATACATTTAGGATGACCCTTGTTCTCCCCCCGAAAAAATCAGACCACTCAGCCCTCAGCCAAAAGAAAATGTACTATACCCTCCAACCTATGTTTCCAACCTCCTGAAAATTGTTCTACAGTCCTCAATTGTTCCGCTTTACACAGTATGTATGTGATACATTTTCCTGACAGGGCCCTGGTCTGATTTTATTGTAGTATCTTAACTAGACAAACTGTACCTGCTTTCCAGC